TAGTAATTATCAGCATTTCCTTTAATCTCACTTCTGTCTCCATTCCTTAGCAAAAAATATTTGAGAAATTAGTTAGAAAAATCTTCCTCGAGGCACCTTTAACAGTTTGTCTCTGCACAAGATACACCTGTGCCTACATCTGTGTCTCTATCTCTTTATTTTCATCTCCGTCTCTGTCTCTGTCTCCATCTCTGTCTCTGTCTCCATCTCTGTCTCTGTCCCTGTCTCTGCCTCTGTCTCTGTCTCCATCACTATCTACATAGCCAAGTCTCTGTCTTTATCATCTAGGTGTGTTTACACTGACTCCTGTCTACCTAACTGTCTGGAAGTGGACCGATGGGATGTTGTCGCCACAACCCGACGAATGTTCTCCAGACAGATCAGAAACCTCAGAAATTGCATTGCAAGGTGGCCTAGGTTTGACCCACAATTTCCTTCTCTGACACCAGCCGTCACACACCTTACACTGATCTGAGCTTCTGGCCATCAGGGTTCTCAGGTTCCACCTTGTGCTTTGAGGCAAAGCCTGGGTAGACACATGGCCGCTTACCAGCAACCACCTGTCACTTTCCTCTGAGTGAATGAGTTCGTTCCTATATCTGTTCAGATTATGTGAGAACCTTAAGAAATTACTTAATGCCTCCTCTGGATATTTTGAGGAAAAGTCTGTTTTATGTGCTCTCTCTCTCTGTCTCTCTGTCTCCCTGTCTCTGTCTCTCTGGTTAGTAGCCAACACGACAACCAGAAGTATCTCTATCCACAGGAGGAACAAAGGATAAACACATTTACGTGCAGTACTCAGCATGCATCCGCCACCTTAGCCATATCGGTACCAACAAAAATGAACCAGGTTCTGGAGCATCTGATAAAACTTGGCCTCTTGTAACACTGGCTGAGAGGAGTTGGATGAGAACAATAAACCGGCAGCACTGAGACACCCTGTCTCCTCCACTGCGATTCTTTTTTACACAGTCCACAGAACAGAGTAGATGGAGCCACGGACAAATGGGTACAAAGTATGAGAGGAGCCAGGAAGTCGGCCCCAAGTCCCCTCTTCAGTTCTGGTCCTTTTGCACGTGGGCAACCTCAGCCCCCGTCCCAGCCTCAGCCTCAGCCCCGCCCCGTGCTCCCTGACAGGTACCTCAGTTCTAGAATCAAGAAAAAAGAAGCAGACGGCCACCAGGTGCACCTGCAGGATGGCAGCCTCCTGCGCCAGCTTCCCTTTGACCGGATCACCTCCTGATGACAGCCGCTGTCTGGACTTGTGGAGAACAGCCGAGTGCGTCAGGGACCCTCAGCAATTCGTCCTGAGGTTTCCAGGGAGTCTGGGTGACACAGGCCGCATGACGAGGGGACTGGGATGGAGGAAGGGCAGGCGACTGCGGTCCCAGACGGGACTCGAGGGCCAGGTGCTGCGCCACACGAAGGCAGACGGAGGCTGGTGCTGCTGGGATACAAGTGCCCGGAGGAGCACCCTTGTGTGTGGTTCTGTGACCTCGCCAGGGTCTGCGCGTGCCTGGTCGGTAATGCAGCCTCGGTACCCACTCGCTGAACGGATGTGTGAATAGATGAATCTTAGGGAGCAGTACTGAGCAAGCACATTCAGGGTACTTCCTGTGATGAATCCTCAACCGTGCATTCTAGAGCCTTGAGAGACATACATACACACAGACACGTACATACCTGTGTGCACATACATGTAGGCACATTATTATTACAGAGTGTAATCTATTATTACAGAGTGTAATGTAATCTATTATGTTCTCATAAGTGTACGTGGAAGAAATAAAGTCTGCTGTTTAAGAACATGGGTTCCAGATACAGATCCTCTGCTGTAAATTACTGTTCTGCCACTTACTCATATCAGACCTTTGGTCAAATGCCTTGTATGTCAAAAGCCTCCTTGGCTTTGCGCAGTGGCAGTATCGTAGCCAATGAGGTTTATCTGAGGGGCGATTATTGCTAATTGAAAACTTTTCCCAAAAGCCTCCTTTTTCCCATCTGAAAGATCGGAAATAATAATAAATAAATAATAGATAAATAAATAATAAAAGCACCCCCTTAGTAGGCTTTGTGAGGATGAAATGAGAGGATTAAATGAGCATATTTGTAGCAAAGTGCCCCTCACATAAGAATAATTCAGTATTGTGAGCAGTTTTATGAGAAATAAGAAAATGAAATACCTATTTTTTCCCAAAAGTTTTAAAATAATGAATTGAAAGATAAATTTTGCCTTTGTTTTCTTCCCTGTTTGAAATAACTAATGAAGACAAGACACATTTTCCAGGAATGTGTCTGAAGTGGTGATTCATCCCCCTTCTTGGTTCCTGACATCTGAACCCTTCTGCTGTGTCCAAGGAATCCCCACCTTATGTGCCTTGGTGAAACAATGAATTCATTCTCACCATCGGAAGGAAACTTTCCAACTACGGTTTCTCAGTATTCCTTAGGTAAATTCAGGTGAAAGTGTGGGCTCCCCCAATTAGACACAATCCTCACAACTGCCACCCTTTCACACACACGCACACACACTCACATAGGGACACATGCACACATGAGCACACACGGGCACACGCATGCACACACATGCCCATGCACACACACAGGGTCCATAAGGAAATGCCCAGCAGTGATGACGGTGCAGGGAACCTCGCTCCAGAATGACCATGGCTGCCTTCTCTTCTCCTTCTCCTTCCCAGGACACACTGTCTTGCTGAGGAAGAATCAGTCCTCTTAGTTGTAGGCCATTGCCTTCTGGTCTACCCCTCTCTACCTCCTCAACATGAAACTGCCTGGTGTTGATCACTTCAGAAATGGCAGTTATTGGAAAGCAGGGAAGATGGGCCAGTTGCCTCAGGAGGAAAACCCAGCCATCTTGGCTTCTTCCTTTCTATTTTTCTCAGGAGGATGCAAGCTGGAGTTCGCATCGCCTCCACATGGTATGTGACAGGGCGACACATAAGTTTTAGGCGGAAATGCTTCAAGTTTTAATGCACACAAACATTTAGAGAAAACCGTATGAAAATCATAAAAGCAAGCAAACACTTAGGTGAAGAAAGGTTGGAGGAAACGAGGAATGTGGAGAAGAAATGCAGAAAACTGAAGTGCTAATAATGTTTGACTAATTTTCCAGGTTCCTACGTAAGAATGGTCACGAAAGCATTTTCACCATGGAAGTTTGGGGCAAATACTCATGGTTGGCCGTATGGAATGTTAAATTTGAGAAACGATAGCAGTACTAATAAGAGCTAATCATTACCAAACTTTACTAGATTCCAGAACCTGTGTTAGCAGTTAATAGAAAACTGAAATACTTTCACCTATTTAATATGCATTGACTTTGGAGGTAGGAATTGTTATCACGTCTATTTTCAGATGAGGATTTTGAGACAGAAAGAGATTCAGAAATTTGCACCGGTTCAGGAACCTCTGAAGTGACAGAGATAAACGGTTCATAGGTTCAGACACGAAAAGGTGCTTCAATGACACGTGGAGTTGCTCAGAATATAAAGTGAACTGAAACCAGCTGAAGAGAAAATGATATTCATATTGCACCTTTAGCTGCTAGATTCATTTCCACTCCACTAAAATATTTATGTCCCTTTTTCAGGAAAGAAGACATCAGAACTTCACACACAACAATGGAAAGAGTGACTGGTCTTGGTAAAACGTTCATGGGCATTTTTATCTCATCTTTAACCCCTTTTCTCCAAGTTTCTTCAAGGAAGATCTTTCTGTTGGCACATTTGCATTTTCAGTTAATAAAACGTATCCTCTTTCAGAAATACAGTCCCCAGTTGCTAACGGAGCAGGCCTGGTGTTTGTGAGAACAGAAGGGATTTCCTTTGATGCGTTCTCTGAGCGGTTTCACACACTTGAACACCTGGAAATCAAAACCTCTTAATTCCCTGAACACTTTTCCTAGTAATTTAGAAAAGTCGTTGGTTGACCACTTGGCCCCGATCTCTTCCTTTTCTTTTTCTTTCTTTCTTTCTTTCTTTCTTTCTTTCTTTCTTTCTTTCTTTCTTTCTTCTTTCTTTCTTTCTTTCTTTCTCTCTTTCTTTTTTTCATTTGCTTTTCTGGTTTCCTTTTTCTATGAGCACTTTTCTGCGATTATTGCCTCCATGGAAAGCAGACATTTGTATCAATTAACCTGAGGAAAACGTAGAAAATACAAAATGCCATGAAGCCTATATTCAAGGACTTCCAGGAGAATCTAGAAGATCAATCGCCAGGACAAGGTTCCTACCTGCTGGTCATGCCATGAGGCTCAGGAGAAAGCTGACATTTTTGAGGAAACTCTAACTAGTGTGATAACCTCTAACCAGTGTGATGGATCAAGATATCTGCAGAAGGAACTAGGCTCATAGTAACTCCTCCTGGTAAGTAACTTTGTCCTGTTTTGATCCTGTGAATGAAAAACTGATAGAGGTTTTTTAGGAAAGACAATGTAGGATCACCTCAGCACATGGACAGCAGTTTTGGAGCTACGGGTCACTATAGATAGAAACGAAACTACTTTTGTTTTATTTCCAAAGGAATGGGTTTCTTTCCTTCCCTGCTTGCAAGCAGAATGAAATTCTACCTTTACAAAATATACACATAAAAGTACAGATGCAGGCTTGAAATTAAAATATTTGTAAGCCTGTGTCTGTAAACTATCTATGTAAATTATTGGTTCAAGGTAGGTTTTTTTTGTGTGTGGGTCTTTAAGTGAGAAACACTTTGATTAAGTACCTTTAGTATTAACAGTGCTCCTCTATTAACCTGCAAAACCCACATGATTGCTTTTGATCTCCTCTTCAACAGCAGTGCAAAAATTTAGCTCTTGCAGTAAATGACTATAGAACTTCAATAAATCAACATAGTCTTATTACTTTAGCTTCTTAGAGGGTAGGCTGAGATTAGTCAAAATTTGTGCAATTGTAATCATGTGATACTGTGCCAAGATGGCCCAGTGTAATGGAATTTGTGAGTTCGGTAAACTATTTCAGCTCTACAGTCCAAGAAAAGAATCTATCTTCATGGTTCAATATTCTTGTTTGTTCATGTATTGTCTCAGCAAACATTTACTGAAGACAGTGTCTAGGCTGGACGCTAGAGATAAAAGGGGCACAAGACGCAGTCCCAACGCTCCAAAAGCTTGCAGTCTAGTGGACAAATATTCTCGATTGTGACTTCTTGGGCCCCTGTTTTTCAGCATGTGGCCACCAGAGACACAGAATGTCTTAGGTTCACGAGCCCTTTTGCTTTCTTACTTTCTGTAATACTTATTGCTTATAAAATCCATACATTTTGTTTAGTGGAACATTTGATAAGGGGGCCCCAAACCATCTGAGTAAAGAGAATAATGATATTAGCTACTATTTACTGAGAGCCATGTATCATGCTGACTAGTTTCAGTGCCTTATCTCAGTCCTCAACAGCCCTGCCCAGGAGACCCTCTTATTTTAATATCACTGTTGGGGAAACTGAGGCTTAGAGAAGTTCAGGTATTTGCCTAAATTCACATGGCTAGGTACTATGGCAAAATTTGGGACCCAATAAAGACTTGTTTGTTCCATAGAGCATGGTCTAGGCCATTCTATGGTATTAGGAGCATTAAGCTATATTTTAAATCTGAATATTTAATTTTCTATAGCCTAACTTTCAAATCGACTCTTCAGTTGAATGCTTAACTCATAAGCGCATAATTTGTATTATTACTCATAAGATGGGAAAGACAGAACCGAACTGTCCAGGCAGAGAGGGGTCAGTTCATCCATTCTTGACTAAGTTCATATACAATGTGATTTTGCTTGAGAATCATCCTTGTTTAATGCTATCAGGGCCCATTTTTATATACTTATATAAATATTGAAAAAATACAGGCACAATTTGTAAAGAGGTAAAAAGGGAGATTTCTTTTTCTTTTTAAGTTAATTTCTTTATGGGGGGTGGGGCAGAGTGAGAGAGAGGGAGAGAGAGAATCTCAGAAGCAGGTTCTGAGCTGTCAGCACAGAGCTTGAAGTGGGGCTCCGTTCCTGAACTCTGAGATCATGACCTTCACTGGTATCAAGAGTCTGATACTTACCCACTGAGCCACCCAGGTACCCCCAAAGGGAGATTTCTGTAAAAGCTTTTCAGACAGTGGGCTGGGTATAGCTGGGCCCACAAAGTGTTCGGTCCTGGCACACTGCTCAGGGTCACAGGTAAATATTCTTTCATTCTTCCGTATAATGTAGGGAGGGGAGGCAGGGGATGCAGGGGCGGCAGGCTAGGTGCTGGTGCCGGCTCAGAATTCTCGGATTCACCCCCAGTTTGGTCACAAATGGCAGCGGGATCCTTGGAGAGGTAGGTGACTGTGTCCCAGTCCTTGGGGGTAGTTGCCGCCTGAGCTTGCGTGGGCGACATTGACAAGGAGCTAACTTGCTAGAGCAACTGGGGGTCCCTGAAGGGTGGGGATGTTAGTTAGGTCCCTCTGGAATTTCTGCGTTGAAAGGTTTGTAAAGAAATTTGTGTGACTTATTCATTTGATCTAAAA